ATTTGATGATGTATATTTTTTTGTATGGTCATTATCATCAAATGATCGTCTTCGATGATGATGATGATGATAATCATATGAACGTTTATGATTATTTTGATTTCTATCTGGACTTGATGATTTTGATATATAAGCTTCTTGTGTTAATAATCGAACAAATTCATCACGTGATCGATTTGAATCTTCTTGTTGTGTATTGTCATTTATAGATGATGAATTATTATTATCAATAGGACTATTTTCACATGATGATGATGATGATGATAATGATTCATATTGTCCTAAACATGTTTTAAAAACTGTTTCTTCTGATGGAATAATAATTGATTCAGATTTTGGTATTAAATGTGAATTTGTTAATAGGATTTCATTTTGTTGATATTGTTCAATTGATTTATGACATGAATCACTATAATTTGAATTATCAAAAATTTTATTTGATTCATTGGATAATGTAGCAGTAAATATAAGAGATGTTAGTGGTTGAGTATAATTTGTTTCATTCGTAGATGGTAATGGTGGTAGTGTTAATGGCGGTGGTAATGGTGGCGGTGGTGTTGGTACTCGAAAACGTTCATCATGATCACATAATCCTTGAGAAGATGGAGAATCGATATCCATGTCAATGACAGAATTGATTGTTTGATCATCGGGAATGGATTCTTTAAAAAAAAACTGTTAGTACAATCTCTGCAAGATTAAAATTTGAAACATAATGTAGCTGATTTTGCTAAACATAGGGGAATGGTTTTATTCTATCTACTTTTGTGACACATTTCTACATCATCTTTTTACTTAATCCTTGTGAAATGCAATACAGAAGTAACGGGTGACCCATAAAGAATAGACCTCTCAATATTTTGAATATTTCTTAGCAGTCTTGCGACATAACAAGACAATTTTTTTTCATAGATTTCTCGATCAATTCTCTACAAATTTGCATTTTTTGTTTTATCAAGCTGTTTACGTCGGGCACTACAAATGATTTTGTTAGCTTTTCTCTTAATCATACCAGACTTCAATCAATTACTGGTTCGAAACTAGTTCTAATAAAGTCTTCAGAAGAATCGACGACTTAATTATGTAGGCAAATGAGAATGATAGAAATTGTCACTATGGTTTGGAAACTTTCGCTTTTGATCACATAGTAGAGAACGTTGTTTTTTTTTTTGAAAAACAAACTAGAGAAGTACTTCTTCTAAATATGGAAGATGATCATATGCACTTCGACTCTTTTGAAGAATATATTAGAATTAGTTTAGGACTTATAATTCATTGAAGTCTTGTATGATTGAGAGACAAGCTAACAAAATCATTTGTAGTGTCCGATGTAAACAGCTTGATAAAAAAAAATGCAAATTTGTAGTGTCCGATGTAAACAGCTTGATAAAAAAAATGCAAATTTGTAGAGAATCGATCGAGAAATCTTCCAAAAAAATCGTCCTGTTACGTTGTGAAGACGCTGAGAAATATTCAAAATACTAAAAAATCCATTCTTTATGAGCGATCCTTTAATTCATATATGATAACAAGACTTTTAGACCATGTTTCACAAAAAGAAAATACTTTAATAATAAAAAAAAAACAGAATATAGCTTGAAGTTTAAAAGCCTACCTTTAATTGACCTAAGATCACCTTCTTGATTTTGTTCACTACTTCTTTCTATTTGATTATGTTCAATATGATATTTTTCAATAAATATTCCAACAAGTTCAGCTAAAAGATGTTTAACATAAGGACGATTTTCATTTTTATATTCTCGAGAAAAAAAATCTAATAAATCTAATGGTATATATGTATTGAATGATTTTGTTGATAATTTATGTTCTTTTAATAATTGTCTGCCAGTTGTTATATATAATTTTGAATTTGGTAATGATGATGGATTTATTATTGATAATTTATCAGAAGTTTTTTTTTCATTTATTTGTTGTTGTATTTTTCTTTGTCGTTTTTCACGTAAACGTAAACGTATATGCTGTGAATTTAATTGTTTTTCACGTTGTATTAATTCATTTGATATTTCAATTTGTTCATAAGCTAATTTATTTTCATATTGTTCTAAATCAATATATGTTTGATTATTTATTGTTGATTTTATTAAACCAAAATTTAAACAATCAATAACTGATACATATAATAATGAATAATCAGTACCATTGGAATGTTTATGAAATTTATATGTATTATTATCATCATTTAATAAACGTTCATATTCATCATTTAAAACTTGTCGTATAATAAATGGTATAATTGTATAATTTGTTTTAGATGTTACACCATTTTTTGTATCATAATAATGATTAAGACGTTTTTGTTGTTGTATAGCATGTTTAACAGTTTGTAATTCAAGATAAAAAATGTCTCGTGTATTTTTAAGAGTCTTTAAACGTGGATCAATTAATGATATAGAAGAATTTAATGGAATTTGTATTAATGAAGAGCTTTTTGTTATTAATATTAGTTCATCTAATGAAGTTTTTAATGAATTTATTGATACGACATTATGTGATAGAGATCGTTCATACACAATATTTTGTTGTGATAATGGAATTGTTTCTGAAGATATTAATGTTTGTCCACGTTTTGTTCGTAATAAACGAGGATCTCGAGATTTTGTTATTTGTTGCTGTTGTTGTTGTTGTTGTTGTTGTTGTTCAGTATTTGATGATGTAAGTAGAGACGGACTTGAATATAAACGATTATATGGAACCATAAAATGATTAGGATATTTTGTTTTTGATGATGTTAAGGATTCAATTGAAGTAGGATTTTGTATTGTTTCATTTATAGTTGTATCTTGAATTGAATCTTCTCGATTAATAGAATTAGATATTGGTGGAGATACTATGGGTTTATTTGAATATGAAGTAATAGGTTTAGTTGATTGATTAGATGTTTTCTTTTTTAATGCAAATTTTTTATTATTAAGATTTCCGTTACGACGTAGAGATTCTTGATTTGGTAGATTTTTAATGATATTTGTAGGTATTAATTCAGGTAAAAATTTTTCTGTTAGATCATACCATAGAATAGCAATGGGTAAGATTTGTGATGGACGAGAAACAGTTTCAAGATTTTCATGTTCATAACAAAAAATCTTAAGAAAAAGTAAAATTCATAAATTTGATTATTTAAAAACAATAAACTTACGAAAGAATCTGCTAATAGATCATCAATATGACGTTGTTCTTTATTTATCGATTGAATTTTACAAAAATGATGATCATAATGTAATTGTGCTGATAATTGATTATTATTCACTGATGGTATTGTTGCATAACCTTTTCCCAAAAGAATCTAAAAATTTTTTATTTTATTTTTTTCATTAACTAAATCATTTTATTTTCAAATTGTTTTTTTTTTTTACTTTACAAACAAGTAAACCAAATCGATAAAGTCCTTGAGCACCAGATGATGTTAAAAGAACATCGGGACGTCTTGATAAATGAACACCATCTTTAGGATTACCTTGAAAAATAGAAAAATCAAAATTAATAATAATCATACTAAATATATTATATTAATTTACCAAGATATTTTTCAATTGTAAATGATAATTGTTCACAATGAAGACCATTATTAGCAACATTTAATGCAACATCACGATAGGCAATTAAATGAAAACCTAAACGTTCGATAGGATCTTGATCTTTTTTCATTTTAATTCGTTTTTCACTAGGAAAAAAAAAAGTTTTTTTTTATAAAAGAAAATCTTAAAGTTTTTTTTATTTTTTACTTATATAATTTTTGTAATTTTTGATTACGTATTGTATCACAAGATTTACATTGATTTTGTCGAAAATCAAAATGAACTTCTAATGCACATGATTTAATATCATTAAATAATTCAATTACATTACGACTATCAGATTTTTCAGATATGATAATATCTTTAAAGGCAAAACACAAAAAAATATTCTATTTTTTATTCTTAAATATTATTTCATACCTTTATCTGATGTATGAGTTTTAGGTATAACAAAAGGTTTTTTACTATCTCGATCTTCCATTTCTAAAATTAAAGAAAAAAGAAAATGTTAATTTTTTTTTCTTTCAATATAAATAAGTATTTGGCAAAGAGAAAAAAGAGAATTAATGTTCAAAAAAGATATTTATTTCGAATAAAAGAACAAAAAAATAAAATAAACATTAATTCTACTTATTTATTTTTTTACTCTTTATAAAATATAAACTATCATCTATCAATCATATATATTTGAAGATCGATCTTATATGTAAGAATGAACAGAAGACATATATAAAAAAATGATTAAGTATTGTTTCTTTAATCTATCGGTTATTTTTTGTATATCTACTTATATGATACTACTAGGAATGCATCTCATTAAAAATTATTGTTAATCTGATTTAAAAAAATGAAAATTACATGCTATTAAGAAATATTTATCCTTAAGATAAAACAAAAAGCGAACAGTTACAATTTTCTGACGATAAATTTTACATTAAAAATAAATAAATAAAAATTTACCTTGAATAAAATATAATTTTCAAATCATATTTTATTTTGTATTGGCGACTGAATTAAACAAATGAGAGGAAAATCTTGCCATGAAATAACAAATCAAATTTAATTGACGTTAAAAAAAAGAAATAACTTTTAGACGTGTAAAAAAAAGTAGAAACGATGTCATTTTATAAGTACATCGTTTTTTTCTTGTTTTTTCAGTAAATTTATTCATAGGTCACCATCGCAACTTTGTTTATTTTCATTTGTTTTTTTGCTCATTGTGTATCAAATAGACTGGTTAATGAAATATTTCAAAGATAAGAAAAGCAAACAGACAGACCGTTTTTTCTATTATGAACAGAACGAAAGAACTCTCAAGGATTTTATTAGTGACAACTATCGAAAAAGATTACTTTTAGATTGGTTGCAATTTTTTTTCTTTCATTCGAATGATTCATCGTTGTATTTTCAAATATTAATTTTCGTATTTTATTTAAAATTTATAAAAATAAAAATAAAAATATCAAAATGTCAACTTCAGATGATTCAGATTCGTCTTCAGTGTATGAAGATCAAGATGATTCTTCAGATGATGAAAATGTATGTAAATAAATTATTACTATTTTTGAAATTTTTATTTATTTTTCATATGAATAGATTTCGAATACTGTTGTTACTCAGGAACAATGGGTTAAATTAATTGAATTTTGTTCATTTAAAACTCAATCGAATGAATCTGTGACAAGAGGTATTGGTGTTGAAAAATTATGTCAAGCAACTGATGTTGATTTTGGTGAAAAAGAAAAAATCGAAAATGGATGGATATTAAATAATAATAATCAAGAAGAATGTTTGATTGTTTCATTTCAAACACCAGTATTTATTAATGAAATACATATTTATGAAAGTCTTAATCCCGGAAGTATTGTAAAATTAGAAATACTGGAAATTCAACGAAGTAAGAAAATAATAATAATCGTTTAGAGTATATATATATATATACATATGATTTTACCTATAGATAGGTATAATAGTCATTAGATGGTTCTAAAAGTTTCAACAAAAACGAACATATCTTTCTCGAGACATTCATTTACCATACGAGGACATCACAATTCTGTCTATTTGGAAGTTGAATATCTCGAGAAAGGACGTAGGGAAAGTTAGTACCATATTCGAGTTTTTTGCGTCACGATTCGCTCTCTCACTTGTGTTGGCTCTACAAATAGTTGGGTTGAGTTCAGAATTCAATTCTGCGTCGAATGATACTAATTTCGACTAGGGTTATCGGGCAAAAAAAAAAGATGACAGTAACAATGCCAGGTCAAAATTTCTGGTCCTTGTTCACCCTCACTTGTCTATTTTGCCCGATAATCCTAGTCAAAATTAGTATCATTCGACGCAGAATTGAATTCTGAACTCAACCCAACCATTTGTAGAGTCAACCCAAGTTAGAGGACGAATCCGGCCGCAAAATACTTTTGGAAGTCCTCAAAAAAGCCGTTAATTTGGGTAAAAATGAATTTTTTGCTCGATGACCCCGGTAAAAAATAGTACGATTCGATGCAGAATTTAATTCTGCATATAACCCAACCAAGTAGAGAGCCAAACCAAGCCGAAAAGCGAATTGGGACGCAAAAAACTCGAATGTGGTGCTAACTTTACCTACATCGAGAAAGGCATGTTCGTTTTCGTTGAAACTTTCAGGTCAAAATTCTTCGATAGCAGGCCATGGACTCGAACCATTTTAGGCTTTTTCTTACCTCAGTATACTCTATCTCTATGAGATAGATTACAAAAGTATCTATATTATCTCAGATGAGATTAGTGATTACATTTTGTGTTCGAATATTTGATTAATAGTGATAGAAAAATAGACATGTGATGAAATAAAACAGTCACGAAAAAATTTGTTCCATACAGAGTGTTATGAAAGTTCGCCGTGAAAAACAAGTTGGATATCTCTTAAGTATCGAATATTATGCAAATATCCCAACACAGATAAATTCTTCACGAGAGTATCAATGAAAAATCTCATTGAATTGTTTTAATGATTTTCTTATAAGACTAAAATTGAAGCACTGTATGATGTTCAAATATCTCATGATTTTGAGAAAAACAAAAATCCAAGTGAAATAATATAAAAATTATTATTATTCATGGAAAGTACGATCTTGATTATGCTGTTCAACTGGATGAACTCTTTGAATAAAAGAGTCAATCACTTGGTGAACATAACTTAAATCAATTCTTTGACATTTGGATAATCAATGTTCTCATTGACATGATCCCATATAGAATAATCCAATGAGTGTAAGTCCAGTGAATAATGCAAAAATATTAGAGAATTTTATGAGGCATGTTAAAAAAAATCGTCTCAGATTTTATGATTTGTTGATGATGAGATGTATTCATATAAGAAAATTATGAAAACAATTCAATGGGATTTTGTATTGCTATTCTCGCAGATAATTTAGAGATGCAATTTTCGAAAAAAGAAAGTTTATTTTCACTTAATATTTATCGATAAACTATTTAAATGAAAAGTGACTTTGTCAGTAAAAAAAATGAATTCTCTTGATTGTTAACATTTTTTATGAAGTTATTGGTCAATGTATAAGTTGCATAGCTTGATTGGATGATATTCAATGTGTTATTGTTTGTACAATGAAACAAACTATTGTAACATCCTGAAAAATTCGATAGTAACCTCATTTTCACAAATATCATGAGTTTTGTCGATCTTTCATAAATTTTCCGATTTACTACTGTAGTGGTTTCACAAAACAGTTGAAACGTATCTCTAATACGGTCTGCGTTTGACGTTGATATACCAAATTCGACTTGTATTTTTTTCTTCATAACGATAAATAACTTGAATTCGGATATAAGAAGAAAATCTGACGAATGATCGATAAGAAACGGGTAAAAATGTTTTCTTCTTTACTTATGACATTTTTTAAGACATTGAAGATTCTGTTTCAGATTCATTCGACAGAGAATTTATAAAACTTAAAGTGAACAATGAAAATCTTTGATGGGTACCCTAAAAATAGGAAAATGTTTTGACTCGTTTATTATGGGTCACCTATTATTTGTATTTTAATGCCTGTGAACACAGAAATTTAGTAGAAAATATATAGAATAAAACTTCAAGGAACATACTATCATAATATTGAAAACAAATATAAATCATTTAAACCGATTAAAGCATAGTTTTTTTTTACGATGAACTTTTGGGATACCCTCTACTACGTACAACAATTAAGATTATGAAACGAATATAAGATGAATCCGAAGCAAGGATAGAAAAGTTTTTATAATCTATAATTTAATTAAGTTCATGGATAATTCATTTATCTTAACACATTCGAGACGATATGAATATTGTTTTTTCATAATTCGTCAAAGATTCCGATTCTTTATTCATGGCAGTTGTAATATTTCAAAATCAGTTTTTGTTAACGTTTCTCTTATAGATCTGAACTATGAATATTCCTTTATTAGTGGTAAAAGAATCAGCTCCTTTGGTCAAAATATGGCATAGATATTCAAGTTTTTCTGTGCTAAAGAGACTTTTGGGCCACCATGTAGTGCGTCCCACCGGTGGGTCTCATCGGGTTGAATGTGTTAAATAAAATATTTCTGATAAGAATCTATCAAGATCGAGAATTTTGAACTTTGCTATCATTGTAGTTTAGTTAAATTTGTTCTCCAAAAGTATAAAAATGATTGAACAACAAATTAACATACTCAATGTATACTTATCTTTCATTGATAGATAAATCATAAAAGTTTGTCTCAACTTTTTCGATGTAAGACACTTTTTAATTGAAAAAAAAATTCAAGTCTTCTATTTCCTTACTATATTCCAAATGGATAAATATAGAATATTGTTTTAAATCACCGATGAAATTATTTTCCATTTCTGTAATCAGAGCTGAAAAGATAAAGATCGTTTTGGAAATTGTACTGAGTCTTTGATAACATAATTACACCATATCGATATCAGTACTTTTCTAGCTGGAAGTTAAAAAAAGAAGAGATCAGCTATTTATTTCATTTTCAAAGAATGTTAAGACGAATTCAACATTATTTCAGTATCAAACATAATTTATCTGATAATTTGAAATTGCTGATAAAGTTGACTGGAAGTGGGGCAGTGAGTGAGTAAAGAAAAGCTTGATCATCGTCCTCAAATCGGTTCTGGTGCTGGACATGATCTCATACCTGGACTCTACTAGGCAGTTAATGAAAGTAAAAACCGATTTGATCATTATTAAGCAATTTATTGTACTTAAGAACAGGTCACAGAAGTGGAAAGCGATATTGTTCTACGAAAAGAATTCGTTTCCCAGTGTCATCAGCAACAAATAAATGTATAATTAGCGAAATTGATCGAATTTTAGAAGTAGGAAGACGGTAAGTGAATCTTGAGTTGCTTGCTTTTTTTTTGTAGAATTTGAGGTAATCTCTTGTTTGGTTGCTGTTTGTGGGAAGAAACTAAATAGTATACCTTTTCATATAAAATAAAAGTTTGACAACCGTACTGTGACTATGAAAGTATGCACTAGATGTTGACGACCAAGTTTAACTATTCGAATCCGGTTGCGAAAAGTCGTTTCCGTGCAGGATACTACCTTCGATCTTCATCCCCGCTCTGAATATCCCTAGTTGTTTGTAGTTTGAAGATAATCTCTATTCATAATTAATAACTTTGTTTTTTGTATATTAAGATAAATGGTGGACTATGTGGCAAAGAAAAAGCTCTCCAGAGAAACAATCAGTAACTCATAATATCTTCAAACCAATGTTACGACGATATCATATTCAATCGAATACTATTCGTATAACTCTTGATCCAAGATATGCAGATCGGATAGGCATTCAAGCTATAAGTAAAATCAATATATTAATTTTCTTAAAATATTTTCTTTTTTCTTTTTTTTTTATTATTATAGAACTTCTTGGTTCAAATATATTTGATGTAAGTTTAAATCATAAATCATTATCTCAATCAATGATAAAATTATATGAACAAGCTATTAATAATATAAATACTGATGTACAATTTATTTTTAATGATAAAATCATAAATGCTCATCGAAATATTTTATGTTGTCGTAGTGCATATTTTCGTTCACTATTATTAAATGATTTTATTGAAAAATTTCAAATAAAACCAATTGAATTAACGGACATTGATTATGAAACATTTATTGAAATTTTATATTTTATTTATACTGGTACATATCATCAAACAATATCATTTGATATTGCTATGAAATCTATGAAATATTCAAATAAAATTAATTTTTTAACAGCCAAAAATGCAGCTATAGAACATATATGTCGTTGTTTGCGTTTAGATCATGATTTAATTATAACAGTTTATTGTCAAATTAAAAATATGTCACCAACATTTGATTTATTATTAGATTATATATATGATTTATGTTCAGAATATTTGCATGATATATGTAAACATAGTGATTTTATTAAACTTGAAAAAGAATTAATAATTGATTTAATATGTCACGCAACAGAACGATGTAAAATTCGTGAACAAGAAAAATTGAAACAAATGACTTTATTACATGAGAATGCAATAAATAGTGAAGAAGAAGAGTAATTTATTTCAGTGTGATTTCATTTTTGTTGATTTTTTTCATTGAATTTTGGTTGTATTTTATAAACTTTTCTTTTCTTTAAAATATTTTATTGGAATAAACTATTAAAAATAATCATAAAAGTAAATTAAGCAAACCAGAAAAAAAAGCAAGATGCTGTAGAAATTAATTTATAGTCATATGAATTCAATCTTAAGTTATGATCTAAATAATAAATAACTTGATGAATATTTTCAAACTTATTGAGCATTAATGGTTCTCAACTGTATTTAGTTAATAGATAATTTAAAGAAAAAATATAATGTATTTTTCTTAGGTTTCAAGATTTACAAAAGTTTATATAAATCAAAAATAATTATTTTCTTTGATTTATTTGGAATTCTCTCTTTTAATTTATGGTAATCACTATCAGTCCTACTAACTAACAATGGAACTGTTTGTCATGTCAGTTGATTTGATTAGCTATATTGGGATCAAATTATCACCCTCAACGAGAAACTACCAAATTAAAAATATGAGCTGTCAATGGCGAGCTCGGATCGAGATATTCAAATTTTAAGGTATTGAAAATTTAGATATACAGGGTGTTACATAACCTTTCCTTCTCCTCTACAACTTAAAGCGCATTAAAGACTGAATTTATTGGTACTAAATGGTAAATATTATGAAGACGTTTTAATATCGAATTTAAGAGATTTTCAGAAATATGATACTTTTTTGGTGTAGAAAAGTATGGTGCCAGTAATTCAAAAATGGAATAAAGCATTTTTCCTGGATATTTTTACATGATTCGATAGAGCTCGTCGAGTTGTACATAACTGCATATTTCAAAAATATTTTAAGTCATCTTTTTGGGATGAAAAAATCAAAAAACTACTTAGAAAATCT